TTTTCAACTTTGTTGAAATTATAGCAGAAATGCTGAAAATATCTTATTTTTTTATTGCTGTCATTATAGATAATTAGTTTTAAGTTTCACCTAAATTGTTACTGAGTCCCACTTTATTCATCTAAGAAATATTGCTCGATTCTGATTTTTATTTCACTGGATGATGCAAAAATATTGATTCATGCCTTTATTTTCTCTTGCCTTCATTTTTGTAATTTTAAACTGGATTGCCTAAGAACTGCATTGCTGAACTACATTTGGTACAAAATGCTGCAATTGCAGAGAACATACAGTACATTTGCATTGGTTACCCATTAATTACAGGACTGATTTTAAATCTATACATTTTTTTAAGCACAGAACGGCTTGGCCAGTCAGAAGCATATAAAGGTGCTAGTAAAATATGCACCAAAATATTTTTTTTAGATCTTCTAATGCTGATCTTTCTTTTTTTGTCTCAATGTAATGTAAACCATACAATATTAATTGAAACTGGCTTGGCTATTAAAACTAAACCTTTTACCAATTGAAAGGTTCATGCATTCATATACTTCTGAGACATCTCTTCTGGCATTTATTTACTCCTTCGTCATAAAATGTCATTTAAAAGTTTCAGTGAACAATTAATCTGAGGCAGACTGTTGTAGTGCTGCATTAATTATTGAGCTGTGCCTGTTTCTCATTTCCTGCCCACGCTGTGTAAATTGCTCAGCAAAGTAATAAATTGTCAGACTATTAAAATGATGACAAATGAAAAAGACAATACAAGATACTGAAACCAGTGGAAGGAACAAAGGCCTCCTGTAGCGAATCAATGCGTTTTTGTAATAAACAAAAACGCAGCTATAGTTCCAGCTATGTCTCATAAAACTATTGCACATAATTTATTTAGAAATGCATACAATTGTATCCTTCTATTTAAAATTGCATAGGTAGCAGAATAAGGATAAGCAAATCTTTAAACTTATAAGAATTAAAACATGAAAGAAAAAAACATCCCAAAACACAAACTCAAGAACAGCTATGTGGAAAACATGATGGATTGTAACTCCTGAGTTCGGTAGATTGTGTGTGATTGCCATTTACTCTTTAAAGACGTGTCGTTATGCTTGGTTGTCCATCTGAAGGTGGATTCCACTTTGGCCTACCATATGCATCAAATTTGGAGGACTTTTTGGGGACGAGTACATTGTAGTGTCTGTCATCTTCTGTAAGCAAGCATAGAGGAGGCCAGTCCTTCTTGTGGTCGTTTGGGTAGTATGTAATAAACTCTTCAGTATCACACTTGTACAGCCGAACAACCCGTATCGTCTGCTGAAGGGAATAACCCAGGAGGCACATCTCCACCTAAACAACATTATATCATCAGGAGAGGTTCCTTCATAAAATATGATCACTTCAACCATTGAAACACTGCAATCAAATTAATCAACAGTAGATATCAAAAGCAAGATGTTAAATATTTGTACATAATTGGTCCATAAATAAACAAAGCAAAATCTTTTTTTGTAAACATTCATTTTTAACTGCACTAACCTGTTCCAGCCCACCACTGAAGCCTACATGTCTGAGGTGGTTGGTGAGGAACGTCTTGGGGCATTTGGATGAATCACGAGCAAAGAGAAGCCAGCAGAACTCTGGCACATCAGAGCCCTTCTCCATATCTGAGTGCAAATGAATGGCAGTCCTCAGCATCAAGAACTTCAGTGCTTCCAGAAGCTCATACTCCTCATCGTGACCTCTGAACACCTGCCGGCACATACGCTCCCTCTCCTCAAGACTTTTGCACTGGACAGTCTCTTGCCACTATAGGTAAAACAATAAAATATTGCCAGCAACTACACTTAAGTTAGGAGTCAATACATTTTT